TCCCTCCCTCCTCCTCCTCCTCCTCCTCCTCCTCCTCCTCCTCCTCCTCCTCCCGTCTTCCTCCTCCTCATCATCAGCATAGTTATCACCAGTATCATCATCATCATCATCATCATCATCATCATCATCATCATCATCATCATCATCACCATCATCATCACCATCATCATCATCATCATCATCAGCAGCATCATCATCATCATCCACTTCTTTCCCTCCTGAATACCGCCTTCCTGTCGCACCCCGAACCCAATCGGAACGGCGGGCCGGGCGTTTCGCTTGAGATTTCCTCACCACGCATGAACCCGAAGCTTCAACATTGACAGCAGCTTCAGAGATGGATGGCGGGTCGCTTCCAAAATGTGGTTCTCTCCTTAGCACCGCGCGAATTCGTTTCAAACGCGCAAGAGATTCACTGATTGAGGGCAGGTGGTTTTCAACTTGTGACTTTCGCCTCAGCGCCGCGCACATTCGTCATACAAATTTGTAAGAACTTCCCGGGTTGAGGGCGGTTCTTCATTCAAAAGGTGGTTTTCGTTGTAGCGCACATTCTGATTAAACATGTGCGAGAGCCTCACGGATTGAGGGCGAGTGGTTTTCAATATGTGGTTCTCGCTTTGCCTTTCGCACATTCGCTATAAACCGTGCAATCGGTTCACAGAGTGAGGGCGGTTCGTTTTCAACATGTAGTTTCCGCCTGAGCGCCGTGCGCACTAACTGGAAAAAACGCAAGAACAAAACAAGGTGTTTCGTGCGTAACATCCCAGAGAACCTTTCTGGAGCGGATTGATATTGTCACGGCGCAACAAGTATGTTGATTCACGGTGATGAAGGCCCAGGAATGGTCGTCTTGCGCGATTCAGGATCGTCAAGACGCAACCGTCAGTTTGACTGTTTGTGCGTTGGCACGCTTCAGGAGTTTCACACACTTGTCCACCAACGGGGCCATTCCTTCTGTGGCAATGAAACCCCGCAGGGGCCCACGAAGAGGGGGCTTGGAGTGAGGGCGTATCCCAAGCTCATTGATGAACCTTGGGTTTACACTAGTCCTCCTCTTTCTCGTCCTCCCCCCTCCTCCTTCTCCTCCTCCCCCTCTTCCTTCTCCTCCCCCCCCAATCTTCTGGACAAGGCGTTCAGTGACACCTGGACGCCTCACCACAAGGCCATCATCAGGAGTCGAATTGGTGGTTCTCACTGGCCCCAAGGGGCGATGTTTCAAGCACAGCAAGGCGCAGCTTGGTCGGTGCCCAATTTGTGGACGGCCAGGAGGAGGAGGAGGAGGAGGAGGAGACTTTGTTTCATCGTTTCTACGTGTGACCTTGCATTGAAGCGCACCAGAGCGACGAAGGCCCGCCACAGGTGCGGCAAGCTGCACGAGCCACGCTCGAGAGAGGTCCTGTCCTCCTCCTCCTCCTCCTCCTCCTCCCTCCTCCTCCTCCTCCTCCTCCTCCTTCTCCTCCTCCTCCTCCTGCTCCAGGGGGAGTTGCGCAATCAGTCTATTTTCCCGTCTCCCGCCAGGTACCTTCCTGTTCAGGAGGCGAGCTTGCAGGACCAGCCCATTTGGATAAGTGTCCCTGCCGGTTGGAAGTTCTCTGGGAAAGTTCTTGTTGATGAGAGTGCGCTTAACCATCGCTTCTCGGGGCTCTCTGGGGCTGGCTGGTCCATCGTCCAGATTGACCAAGAGGGTCAACTCATTGCGGGTGCCTTTGGAGTGGTCCCCCTCAGCTACGCGCCCAGGCAGACGGCGCGAGACGGGGAGGACCGAGCGCTTCAAGTTCTAGCAGAATTCTCGGAGTGGAACCCTGAGGATCCGCTCGCGATTTACTCGGACTGTGCCGGCTCGACTGAATGCGCGTTGAATCCTCGCGTGGCCCTCGACCCCATGGATTGCAGAGGCCATGTTTGGGCTCGCTGGTGGGAAGGGATCGGCCAAACAGCCTTGGTTGTGAAGGGCAGGAGTCACCGTGCCAGAGCCTCTGCCGTCAGTCTTGAGGATGATTGGCTCGTCCTTGGCTACCAGATGGCAGACCGCTAGGAGGGGGAGGAGGAAGGGGAGGAGGGGGAGTAGAAGGAGGAGGAGGAGGACGAGGAGGTGGAGAAGGAAAAGGATCAGGAGGATGAGGAGGATGAAGAGGAGGAGCAGGAGGAGGAGGAGGAGGAGGAGGAGGTCGGTCTCCCCACAGCAGCTCGCCGTTTGTGCAAGGGGTCGAGGTCAGGGCCTATGACATCTCGAAGTGGCATGCGAGGGCCCAACAGCGTGTCTTGGACGGTGGTTTCGTTGACCCGGAAGGCGTGATTGGAACCTCGGATCTGCGTTTCGAGATCAATTCGGGGGATTGGGACAGGCTCGAGGAGGCTGCGAGGGAGGAGGGTGCTGAGCCCTTCGCGGGTGTGCGTGGGATGGTCCTTGAGGGAGGGAACGCGCCCAGCTCCACTCCTCCCTCCCTGGGACTCTTCCGCCTCCCCCCCTGCTAGTGCGGACACCTCCGAGGACCTCTTGAGTTTTTCAGGGACTCCTTGGGTGTTCAATAGGCGTTCGGTAGCGCAGGCCTCCTTGGTCCCTTTTGACCCTGAGGCGAGGCCCGAGTCTGATTTCCTTGTTTGCAAGTCCGGCGGAGCCTCGATGCACAAGAACGCTCAGTCGGGGGAGGGGTTGGACGGTGCGCGCCTTGGGAGCAACTCTACGGAGTTGCCTTCTCAGCGCTCCCGCCTGTGCTGAGTGTCCGCTCCCCGTCTCCCAGCGCGCCTCGTGGACGTGCGAGGCCCCTCAGCCGGCATGGTCGAGAGCTTGGCGCCTCGCTTTCCGTCCATCGTGGCAGACGCGCGGGTGGAGGAGGCAGGCATGGGGGTTGATCGGTCGGTCCCCGCTGGTAGTTATGGCACAAGGGTCCCTGACACTCAGGACTGGGATGTGGCCCTGGCGCACGGCCTTCGATCCCCCTTGGACGCGGTGGCGTCTTGAGAGCCCCTGGCCCCAAGGGGCGAGGAGTATGGCCCTGGTGGGGCAAATTCTTGGCAGGCACAGCTGAGCTCTTCGGAGAGGGGGCCCTGCCCCATGTAGTCTCGACAGCCTCGACAGCCTCCTCCTCCTCTTTCTCTTTCTCCTTCTCCTCCTCCTCCTCCTCCTCCTCCTCCTCCTCCTCCTCCTCCTCCTCCTCCCCTCCTCCTCCTCCTCCTCCCTCCTCCTCCTCCTCCTCCTCCTCCTCCTCCTCCTCCTCCCCCTTCTCCCTCCTTCTCGTCCACCTCCCCCTCCTCCTCCTCATCCTCCTCCTCTCCCTTCTCCTCCTCCTCCATGTCCCGTTTCTCCTCTTCCTTCCCGTCATCCTCCTTTTGTTCCTCATCATCTTCCTCTTCTCCTCCTCCTCCTCCTCCCTCCGTAATTCCTCATCTATCCACCCCTCCTCCTCCTTCTCCTCCTCCTCATCCTCCCTCCTCCTCCTCTTCCTCCTCCTCCTCCTCTCCTCCCCCTCCTCCCTCCTCCTCCTCCTCCTCCTCCTCCTCCTCCTCCTCCTCCTCCTCCTCCCCCTCCCCATCCTCATCCTCATCCTCATCTTCATCCTCATAGTCCTCCCCCTCTTCTTCCTCATGTTCCCCCTGCTATTCCTCCTCTCCCTCCTCCCCAGCATCACCATCATCTTCATCATTTCCATCAGCATCACCATCACCACCACCACCACCAGCATCATCAGTATAAGCATCATCAGCATCAGCATCAGCATCATCATCACCATCATCACTACCATCGTGTTCACCATCGGCATCATCTTCATCAGTAGCATCAGCATCTCCACCCTCATCATCATGATCATCCCCATGCTCGTCCTCGCGCTCATCCGCTTCATCCTCCTCGTCTGCCTCCTCCTCCTCCCCCTCCCCCCTTTCCCTCTCCTCCTCCTTTTCCTCATCCTCCTTCTCCTCCTCTTCCTCCTCTTCCTCCTCTCACCCGTCAACCTCCCAGCCGGGCAGCACGACAACCACGGCCACGGCAAGGACCAGAACGTTGATTGTAAGTATTGCGACGATGAGGACGACGGGCGCGACGACGACGCCATTGGCGACAGAGAAGGAGAAGGGGGAACAGTGGAAACCCAAAATTAATCAACGATGTTGGAATGAACCCTCTCTCCAAGCTCCCTCATAGGCCCGCCCCTACAAGGTTTCATTTCCATGGATGGAACTGCCTCGTTGGGCGACAACCTTGCGAAGACTCTGATGCGTGTCAAAACACCATTTCTCGGGACTCCAACGCCGCGAATCAATCCTGACAGTTGCGTCTGGCTGAATCGCGCCAGAGCACCATTCCTGGGATTTCAAGATTACGAATTAACGCCAAATTTTTTTTGCACCCTCACAATCCTGAGCCTTCCAAACGCAATTTCTGTCACGTTGACCTTGGGAATCCGTGAAACTTTTGCAAATGTTTGAAACGAATGCGCGGCTCCAAGGCGAGAGCCACATGTTCAAAAGGAACCGCCCTCAATCCGTCAAACTCTTGCAAAGTTCTATAACTAAATGTGCGCCGCGCGAAGGCGGGAACCACATGTTGAAAACCACCCGCCCTCAATCCTGGAATCTTTCGCAAATAGTTAAGACGAGTGTGCGCGGCGTTACGGCGAGAGCCACACGTTTGCCCTCCATGTGCGAAACAGTTGCCAGCGTTTAAGCTTCGGGGTCATAAGCGGCGAGAAAGTCTCAGGCGAAACGCCCGGCCCGTTTTTTCGATGCTTCGGGATGCGATAGGGAGCAGTGATGTATAAGGAAAAGGGATGGAGGAGAAGGAGGAGGAGGAAGAAGAAGAAGAAGAAGAAGAGGAGGGAGAGGAGAAGGCGAAGGAGGAGCAGGAGAGCGAGAGGACGGCGGCAGGATCGACTAACCAGGAGGAGGGGGAGGAGTAGGAGTAGTAGGAAGAGGAGGAGGAGGAGGAGGAGGAGGAGGAGGAAGACGAGCAGGAGAAGGAGGAGGAGGAGGAGGAGCGACCGATGAGGAGCGCCAGTGGCCAGGCCTGGACGCGTCAGCGGCTGGACTGCGGCGACGGCTGGCCGGGCGGCATCCCGCAGCCCAAAAATGGCCCATGCGGCGTGCTCGCCGTGGTCCACGGCTTCATGCTCGCGGGGCAGCACGCGAAGGAGGCGGCGGATATTCAGGCCTCGCCCTCCTGGTCGGGGAGGGGGAAGGAATGGGGAGGTTGTTGCACGGTTATCTTTTGTGCAGGAGGAAGTGGTGGTGGAGGAGGGAAGACTAGAGAAGGAGGAGGAGGAGAAGAGGAAGGAGGGCCAAAAGGAAAAGAAGGAGGAGGACGACGAGGAGGATGACCACGATTACCGCAAAGACAACAGTAATAAAGAAGAGAGCATTCGCGAACAGAGCGGGGCAAGCTCAGGTGGCCGGCCGAAACGATCACACAGGAACCGGGGCTGTCGAGGCACGACGACAGCAATACCAAGTGTGCACCTCCGTGCGGCCAGAAACCAAAAAGGGCTCCACGTTTACCTTACATCACAGGCAAGGTGACCGCGGTCCCTTCGGGCAGTCTCAACTCAGACAACGGCACACACACACACACACACACACCGCCTCTCCTCCTCCCCCTCCCCCTCCTCCTCCTCCTCCTCCTCCTCCTCCTCCTCCTCCTCCTCCTCCTCCTCCTCCTCCTCCTCCTCCTCCTCCACAACGGCACACACACACACCGCCCCCAAGGGTGCCGACCCGAGCCTCCGCCTCAATGAGATCTGGGGCCCTGGACCATCTCCACGACGACCGGGCGGGCCGCCTGGCCCGTGCAAGACACGGTGCCCAGAGCCATGCCCGCCAGTCCACTTGCAGGCCAGCCACAACTGGGGGAGCTGTGGTCCTTAGCCCCCTGGGGGGCCCATCGATTTCGACACCCCTCTCGAGACATCGTCGGGGCGATGGGTTCCCCCAGGGGGGTAAGGACCACGGCTCCCCCAGTTGTGGCTGGTCGGCCTAGCCCGAGGGGCACCAGGTGGCCCGCATCGATGAACCTCCTCCGACGACCAATTGGTCGAAGTGGCCCGAGTGCGGTACACATTCGGGTGTTGCTAGAGGTGCCCCTGGCCCAAGATGCCCCCAGGATTTTCAAGGAGGCCACTACGGCCTCCAGAGCACCCCTCGCGAGGTCCAGAGGGCCCCAGGAGCTCCAAAATTGAGCGAAAAGCTGGGAGCACCTTGAGCCAGGGGCACCTTTAGCAACCACCGACATGGCGTACAGCGGACAGGATTGTACTGTGCTGCTCGCCGCACCCACCACCACCCAACATTGGATGATTGCACCACCGTCACGGCAGGAGTGACGGAACCCCGAGATCCCAGACTGCCCCCGCCCAGCTGCGCACGGCACGCTGGTGTCAGCGCCCAGACCCCAGGGCCTTGCCCTTCCCACCGCGGCGCAAGCTTGGAAAGCTTACGACTATGTTTGTTCTCGAACGGAGGGCAATCCGCCTGAGTTCTTGGGAAGAGGACCCAATGGCACACGTGCCGCGAGGAGGAGGACGAGGACCAGTGCAAACCCAATACGCATCAACGATGTTGCAATACACCGTCCTTCCAATTTCCTGCTACAAGAGTGGGTTCCCCAAACAGTGGTTGCATTTAAGGGGTCGCATTGATGTTCTAAGGAACTGGGCCTGGCTGGTGGTCTGGTGGCTCCGTGCTGGCCGTCGCCGCCGTTTTCGCTTCCCCGTCGCCACTTAGATTGCACAATAAGACTCATGACATCACATATCTTCCTCTTTACAGAGCAATAGATGCCACCACCCTCGCGAGGCTGGACTTAATGGTACCCCCTGGGGATGTGCAATGTGCATATGATTAGCCTCGTCGTCAATTCGACGTGTGGAACCATACCATCCCAGCCCAGCTGGCATCGACCCCCCCAAACGGCCATCCTTTGCAAAAACACTAGGCGCGCACATCTGTATGTTAAACATCGCCAACGTTCCAACATTATGTTGCAACCAAATGGCGAAATGTTTCAAAACGGCAACATTAGCAGCAGCAACAACAATATCAACAACAACGACAATAACAAACACGTCCCGTCAGGATGTCCAAATCGAATGCCCCGAAAACATAGAACATACATGGTATTGCACCATGAAGTCTCCAAACAAAGTTTGCGCGCGCTCGTGCGAATTCTTCAGGGAACCAAAGTTGTTCAACATGTTTCACCAAATGCGACCCAACGGGCCTCCCACGCGCGCGTGTCGAAATCATCGAACGCCATTGCGCGCGTGCTGGGGGGGGCACGATCCTTGCGAACTTATGCCATGCGGGCCACTCGCCCGTCGGCCGCGCACGCATGTCGAAATCCTATTGGGAACCTTGATCTCCGACACATGGACACCATCACCGTCATCGGCGTCATGCGCATCGGCACTGTCATTGGCCATGCCGTCGTCATTGCCATCCTCGTCACCAGCACCGCTACGATCATCATCGTGTCTGCCGTTGCTGACGTCGCCATGCTACCGCGCCCGCCCGAGTCACTGACCCGCACTGAAGTTCCCGTGCGTGAGCGCGACCTGCGAGACGCGCTGGGAAGTCCCCAGCGGTCAGCGCCACCGCGGCCGCGTAGGCCGCGTCAGACTAGTTGGCCGCTCTGCGCGCGAGCTTGCGCGGGCTAGCACGGCCGCGGCGATGCGCCAGCCAGCGCCGAGAGGTCATCGCAATCGCCGCCGCATTGGCTTTGTAAACCATTTTGCGGCAGGGCGGGCGGGATGATTGCGTGAGCAGTAGAGTTCATAACCCCAGGCTTTTCGAAGTTAATTTCGCCACATGGACTGTACGACGTAGATCGCACAACCTCGGCTACCACGACGATCACCACGACCACGACGACCACCACGACCACCACGACCACGACGACCACGACGACCACGACCAGCACGACGACCACGACGACCACGACGAGCACGTCAACCACGACCACCACGACCACCACGACGACCACGACGGCGGCGGCGGCCGGGTGCGGCAGCGGCCGCAGTGGCGGCCTGCCGCGCGGCCAGGTCTCCGCGCAGGCGGCCGCAGAGGCCATCGCGGGCATCCTGGCGCGGTGCCGGCCGGAAGAGGGCGCGACCCCCCTTGGGGGCTTAGAATCCCTTAGGTCAACGCCCCGGATACATTTCACGCACATCTTCGCCCGCCGAGGATTCGGTCTGCAGGTGCTGCGCCCGCAGCTTCGGACATTCGGCAATGCGGGGGACATAAATGGGGGGGCGTCGAGGGTTGCACGCACGGGGCCCTAAAGGGACCTGAACGAGCCCCCATAATTAGGGCCCCGAAGGGGCACGAAAGGTGCACCTTTCTTACCCCCCCCATCTATCGCCCCCCCATTACTGAACGCCTGACTCAGCTCGCTCCGGGGCTCACGTGACGGGGGTCAGCGCTAACGGGGTTCAGTCAATCCCCTATGGCTGACCCGGGTTGGGGGGACCCACGTGGGGCCGCGTCTGGAAGCTATTTCGTGGCTGGCATGGATTCGCGACGTGGCCCTGGCTGAGTCGGGTTTGCGCTGACCTGGGTTAGCACGCCCCCCAGCTCGCTTGCGTGTCAGAGCGACCCTTCGCCGGAGAGGCCGCTGGTGCGGGCCGACGGGTGTTGCATAATGGGGGGGCGATTACTGGGGGGGGTGAAGAAGTGTGCACCTTTGATACCCGAATGATGCCCTAAATGGGCCCCTGGGGCCCAAAAGGGGCACTATATGTGCACGTTTCTCTCCCCCCCACTTGTCACCCCCCCATCTTGCAACGCCCGAAGCTCGGCTGCGCGTCAGAGCGACCCTTTGCCGGAGTGGCGGCTGGTGCGGGTCAGCGGTGGCAGAAGGTCTAGTCCTCCCAGATGGGGTCGGAGTAGATGGGGTCGGAGGATCGCTCTGCATCGACGACGCATCGACGATGCGGCACGGTGTGGAGGCAGACTTTCTCCACGCCGATGGCGCCGATGCATCGCTGACGTCACTTATGCATCGGCGATGCGATAGCGATGCATTGGCGATGCAGCGCGATCCTCGGACCCCACCTACTCGGACCTCATTGAGGAGGCCTCTGGTAACCCTTCGCCAGAGTGACGGCCGGTGCGGGCCGACGGGGGTTCCCCCAGCGCTTCGGCGGAGGCAAGAGGGGCCCAGTGGCCCAGGGGCCGCTGCACGCATTCCCCGCGGAGCCTCGCCGAAGACGCGGGCGATATCGCAGCCCTCGGACGCATGCATCAAGGGGCTCGCCCCCTGGGCCATCCGCCCCTCCTGCGGCCGCGGGACGCTGGCCTGCACGCCTGAACTCGGCCCCTCCGCGCACCCCTGCGGTCGGGAACTCTTGGCTCGGCGTGTCGCGCCGCTGGCTCTGGCCCACCGCGCTGCGGCGCGACACGCTGTCCACTTCCCAGCCCCGCGGCTTTGACGTCCGGAGCCTTGCCGAGCCTCCCGCCGCGCGGAGCGGCGCGGGACGCGGTCCGCTCGCAGGGTGTAGCGTGTCGCCAGGGCCGCCGCGGCAACACGCTATCCAAAAGTTCCTGACCGTGTAACCGCGCACCAAAATCGGGTATAGCCCGGACCCCGGTTCAAGGGACCCGCTTAGTAGTAGGGCCGTGGAGCCCCCAAAATTAGCCAGAATTATAAAAAAGACCAGGTCTGCTGTAGCTGGTGTTTTGTTTTTGTTCGGGTGACAGCAGCTCCGGGCAGTGGAACGGGGCGGCGGGGGGGGGCGTCCCCCAGTGCACATCACTAAACTCGGGGGCGGCAAAGAGGGGGGTGATGACTAGGGGGTGGGGATATCATGGCGGGGGCCATTATATTTCCCCAGATTTCATGGCGCCTCTTCTTGTTTCATTACGTCCCTGGCCCCCCCGCTGGGCCGCGCACATGCCGCCAGTCATGATTTGCACCCCCCCCTCTTGGACACGCCGCTCCCGATAAGCCAGGTCTCACTAAACCCAGTTCTGCCAACGCCCGGCATAAGGCCACGCCTCCCTGCCATGCCATCAGTCCTGCGAGCAGCGAGCCCGCGCGCGTGCTCGGGCGCCGCCTGCCGCTCTCCGCCAGGTCCTGGAGGGGGCGGCGGGGAGGGCGGGCAGCATGCCTCGCTCGTGTTCGCTCGCCCTCGCTCGTCGTCCTCCTCCTCCTCCTGCTCCTCCTCCTCCTCCTCCTCCTCCTCCTCCTCCTCCTCCCGTCTTCCTGCCTTCTCCCTGTCGCACCCCCAGACGAGTCGGTAGGGCGGGCCTGGCGTTTCGCCCGAGACCTCCTCACGAGCTCATGGTTCTGAAGCTTGACGTTTACAGTGGCCTCACGAATGGACGGCGGGTCCTTCTCTACTGTACTTATATTCCTCGTCTGAGTGCCGCGCGCATTCGTCTTCCGAGCTTGCAACACCTTCACGGATGGAGGGCGGATGGTGTTCAAAAGATGGTTATCGCCTTAGCGCCGCGCACATTCGTTTTCAAAGCTTGCACCAGCTTGAAGGATGGATGGCGGCTGGTGTTTTGAATGTGGCTCTCGTTTCAGCGCCGCGCACACTCGTGTAAAAATGCAATCGCTTGCAGGATGTTGGGAGGGTGGTTTTCAAAATGTGGCTCTCGCCCTAGCGCCGCGCACAGTCGTCTTAAACGGATACAGCATATTCAAGGAGGGAGGGCGGATGGTTGTCAAAATCCGCGCACATTCGTTTTGAAAGTTTGCAGCGGTTTCAAGGGCTCGTATGCTTAAGGTCATAGGAAGTGTGCTCTGGCTCGAATTAGGGCTGTCAGGACTCAAGCGTCACGTTGATTCGCGGTGTTGACGTCCCAGGATTGATGTTTTGGTACGGATGAGGAATGTCGTACTCTTGTGTTCCAACGGGGTATGTCCCGCAATGGAAGTACATTGCTACCGGGAGGTATGAGTGGGAACTTGGAGGGAGGGTGGATTGCAACATCGTTGGTGCGTCTTGGGTTTGAATTAGTCCTCCCTCGCTCGTCCTCCTCTTCCTCCGCTTGCCCCTCGTTTCTCCTGATTAATACTCCTCCTTCTCCTGCTGCTCATCCCTCGCTCGTCGTCCTCCTCCTCCCTCGCTCATCTTCCTCCTGATCCTCCTCCTGCTCCTCGTGTCTGTACGGTTGTCCTCCTAACTACTCGTCTTCCCTTCTCCTCCGCCTCCCTCGCTCGTCCACCTCCTCATTCCTTTCTCCTCCTTCCTCCTCCTCCAACTCCTCCTCCTCCTCCTCCTCCTCCTGCTCTGCTCCTGCTCCTCCTCCTCCTCCTCCTCCTCCTCCTCCTGTTCCTCCTCCTCTTCTTATTCCTCGTCCGCTTCCTCCTCCTTCTCCTCCTCCTCCTCCTTTTCCTCCTCTTCCTCCTGCTCCTCCTTCTCCTCCTTTTCCTCCTCCTCCTCCTGCTCCTCCTCCTCCTCCGCATTATTCTCCTCCTCCTGCTCCTCCTCCTCCTGCTCCTACAGCTGGGATGGGGAGGGGGCTGAGGAGGCGGAAGATGAGGGGTTCGGCATTGGCATTCGGATGCCGCGGAAGCTGAACGGTCACTCGATCTTAGACGCTGTCGTCTCATGGTCGGAGTTAAGTATATTGTGCACTATTTACTATAAGTATGCTGTGCACTGCAAACAGAGAGGTCTGTCTAGTGTGTGCGTAGGTACTCGGCGGGTGAAGGGTGGGTCCTCCTGCGCCGTCCGTGAGCGCCTGAGGGACCGCATCCATCCTGCTGATCTGGGTGTTTCCTTGGACGGGCCCCAGGTCCCCTCTGCAGCCATCCGAGTGAAGAGGGCGGCTCACTCTGGCGTGGCGGAAGAGAAGTCCAGTCCGCCGTCTCGCCTTGGCCCTTTTTCGGGCCCGCGGGCCCCTTCGATGCCGAGTGTCGAGCTCGCGCTAAAAGGCGTTTGGCTTCGAGTCCAGAGTTTTTGCTGAAGAGCTTGGGCAACGTGCCGTCGAGGCCCGTGCTGCATCCCAAGCTCGCAGAGCAGCGCAGTTCGAGGATGGGGACCTCGACTAGCGCTGCTTGGGGTGGAGTGCCCTGCCGGCTGGGCCCAGGACCGTGGGGATGGAAGCCCCCGGCTGGGTGCAAAAAGGTCTCCTTCAATGGGCACCCCACCCCGTTTTTCCATTTCTCTCCCCCCTATGGACTTCCCTCTATGGGCGTCGAACCTCCTCCTCCTCGTCCTCCTCCTCCTGCTCCTCCTCCTCCTCCTCCTCCCTCCTCCTCCTCCTCCTCCTCCTCCTCCTCCTCCTCCTCCTCCTCCTCCTCCTCCTCCTCCTCCTCCTCCTCCTCCTCCTCCTCCTTCCTCCTCCCTCCTCCCTCCTCCTCCTCCCTCCTCCTCCTCCTTCTCCTCCTCCTCCTCCTCCTCCTCCTCCTCCTCCTCCTCCTCCTCCTCCTCCCTCCTCATCCTGCTCCTCCTCCTGTTCCTCCCTCCTCCCTCCTCCCTCGGTCGTCCTCCTCCCTCCTGAGCGCCAGCTCGGCCCGGGCGCGGCTCCGCGCCCACGAGCCCTCGCCGGGAGGTCCTCCTGGGCCTCTGGGTCCCTCCCTGCGAAAGTCGGGCGGCACGCGTGCCCCCGCGAGGAGGGCGAGGGGCACTGCTTCTAGGAGGAGCGACGAGGCGGGGGAGGAGGAGGAAGAAGGGGCAGGAGGAAGGGAGAGAGGAGAAGGAGGAGGAGGAGGAGGAGGAGGAGGAGGAAGAGGAGGAGGAGGAGCAGGAGGGCTCCAGAAGGCTTTAAGCGCTTCTGGGGGAGGAGTCTGGAGGGATTTTGTTGGGTGGCTCGCGGGTGTCATGGGTCCTTTTCCTCCTCCCACCTCCGCCTTCATCCTTTATTCCCCACCCTCGATCCTTCTCGTCTTCATCCTCCTCTTCCTCCGCCTCCGCCCCTCCCCATTCCTTCTGTATTTCTCCTCCTCCTCTTCCTCCTCCTCCTCCTCCTCCTCCTCCGCGTCAGCCTCCTTTATTTTCCTTCCCGTCCTCCCACATGTATGCCATCGCTTTTCTCCTTTCTGCTTCCCTCTTTCTTCTACCTGTCCACCTATGCGATGCCAGGCGCGCCTATCCGGCTTGCTCGCCCGCGCGAGCGCGGCAACTACCGGCCCGACGTGGAGCTTGAGGAGGGTGCCGAGTGCCGGGCCGAAGGGGGAGACGAGGAAGAGGAGGAGGAGAAGAAGAAGGAGGGAGGAGGAGGCAAGAGGGAGGAGGGAGGAGGGAGGAGTGAGGGAGGAGAGGAGAGAGCCAAGCCAGGTGCACTCGCACCACATCTGACATCATACCCCATCCCACCCATCCCTTCTCATTGCGCTGATTTGTTCTCAATCCGCCGACGCGTGTCATAGCGGTCCTGGAGTTTCAAGAATAATCCCATCGTGTTATACACAGTCAGAGTCAGAACAGGGGGGGGCGCGTACAGAGGAGGAGGAGGAGGGGGAGGAGGTTGCGGATGAGCAGGAGGAGGAGGAGGAGGACGAGGAGAGAGGAGAGATGAGAGAGCCAAGATTAATGCGCTTGCGTGCTATCTGACGTCCTACCCCCGCCCCCCCACCGCTTATGCCTGCGCAGGGCCTCCCTGCACTCGCACCGTCGGCTGCCGAGACGGGCAACGAGCCCGAGAGGGCGCGCGAGGCATGGCTATGCACGGCACGGCGTGGCAATGGCACGGCGCGGAGCAGCGCGGCAGAGCGCAGCGTGGCAGGGCATGGCCCAGCGCAGACCGGCAGGGGGGAGGAGGGGGATGAGGGGGAGGAGGAGGAGGAGGAGGAGGAGGAGGAGGAGGAGGAGGAGGAGGAGGAGGAAGAGGAGGAGGAGGAGGAGGAGGAGGAAGAGTGGCGGGGCGCAGCAGGAGAGCGAGCAGCGAGCAGAGCGCAGCGGGCGGCAGGCCGACCGCGCGTGCCTCTTCAACTACAAGGCTCCTCTTATAACTCACTGGTGTTGGGGTCCTCAGTGAGATAGCCGAGGGTGCCATTTACCTCACGAATGTGCTGAAATGTGTTACGCATTTCTCAAAAATCTCATAGGCCTGAATAAACGAGGCGAGGGCGAGCGGGCGCCCCGCTCACCGCGCAGCGCCTGGCGCGGCTGCGCCCGGGCCGGCCGCGGCGGGGACGCGGCCCCTTCCGGAGCGCTCGGGGTGAGCGCGCCGCCCCCCCGCCCCCCGCCCCCCCCTGGGCACGCCAGACTCAGAGGAGGAGAGGGTATACCCATACCTCCACCCTTCGCCCGACTTCCCCCTTTTGGGCCTCCTGGTCGGTCCTCGTTGCCACCGCTGGATTCGCCTCGAAGTTCTGGTCGGGACGCTCCCCGGGAGAGGTTAAAACAGGGCTAGGATCGGGATACATCGCTCCAGAGCGTTCCGGAGCGCTCTCAGAGCGTTCCGGAACGCTCTGGAGCGGCCGCGGCGCCCAATACATCCTCCAAACCCGCCGATTCTCAGAGGTTTCGAGTTATCCCGATCCGATTTTGTACCGATCTTCGCGTCGTTTTAGAGGTCCGGGAAGCAGCGATATCGGTGCCTTTTGATTTCCCCACGGACGTCTGCGCGGCGGGGGCGGCGCGGCTGCGGGCGTGTCTGACGGGGGGTGGGGTGCTTCCTGCTGGCGGGGGGGCCTCCTGCGGCTCTGCGGGCCCTCGCGCGCCGTGGAAGACAGGGGGGTCCTGAGTGAAGCGGGTCCTGCGGCTTTTCGTCGCTGTGGGCTCTCGGGGGCCCTCCACTTTGGACGCCCGAAATGGGTACGGAAAGAATGGGTACAATGCCGAACAGCAAATGCTGTCCCAAACCAACAGCGGCCGCCGTTGGGCAGGCGGCCTTCTGTCTCAAACAGACACAGGCCGCGGCGGCGCGGACAGCGAGTCCTGTTCAAAATGAACAGGAACTGCTGTTGGGCATTGTACCCATTCTTTCCGTACCCATGTCGGTCGTCCAAATCCACGGGCCCCGGGACTGAGAAAACGACTCGGGGAAGGCCCCGGGGTCCAGGACCCGTTTCCCTCAGAGCCCGTGTCTTTCATGCTTGGGGGCGGTTGCGGGCGTGCTTGACTGGGCCGTTGCTGGCGGGGGGCTTCTTGCGGCTTTGCCAGTTGACGAAATGCTGCGGGGGCGCGGTGAGAGGTAACGCTAGCCAATCAATGCCGCGGTGCGCCTGGGCCTCGTCATATTCCATCAGTTCGTTGTTTTATTCCTCCGCATTATTCATTATTTTCATCATCAGCAGCATCAGCATAACCACCATCATCATCATATTCGTCATACTGATCATCTTCATCTGCATCATCATCGTCACCATCGTCATCATCATCATCATCATCATCATCATCATCATCATCATCATCATCATCATCATCATCATCATCATCATCATCATCATCATTCATCAGCAGCAGCATCACATGTCATCATCAGCAGCATCAGTACCACCATCGTTATCAATAGCATCATCATCAGCATCAGCAGCCGCATCATCATCAGTTGCTTCATCAGTACCATCGTCATCTGCATCAACATCACCATCGGCATCGTCATCATTACCAGCATCATCAGCATCACTATCACCATCAGCATAATCATCAGCATCATCATCAGCATCGTTGTCATCACCATCATCAGCATCAGCAGCATCATCAGCATCACAGCATCAGCATCATCATCATCAGCAGCAGTATCATCATCATCATCATCATCATCATCATCATCATCATCATCATCATCATCATCATCATCATCATCATCATCATCATCATCATCATCATCATCATCCCCAGCCGCACGTCATAGTGCGTGTTCCCCACAAACGCTGCTTGTCCGTGATGCTCCTTGGCCAGGATCAGGCCATCAGGTTTTAAAACCCGAGCTCTTCATGGCGGTGTGCTCCTCATCGCGCTCATCCTTTTCGCACACGAGGAGGATCCAGGCTGTGAGGGCGAGAGGAGAAGTGGGAGCGCACCACAGGCAGCATCGGTCTCATCTGGGCTGTGCGACTAGCGAGTAATATTATTTGACTGCTTAGGCAAGCAGCCTGTCCGTGGATGTCGCGCAGGTGTTGGTCCAGATGCGAGCATTGGGACCGCTCGTCGTCCACGTCTGAGAGAGAGAGAGAGAGAGAGAGACGGAGACACAACGGGGGAAACTACAGAGCGAGGGAGAAAGAGATTGCGGTCGGGAACTCTTGGGTAGCGCGTCGCTCCGCCGGTCCTGACCCACCGCGCTCTGGAACGGCACGCTGTCCACTTCTCGGTCCCCAAGCCTCGATGTCCCGAGCCTTTGCGAGCTCCCCGCCCTGCGGAGCGGAGCGGCACGCTATCCACTCGCAAGACATAGTGTGTCGCTGGGGCCGCCGGGGCGACACGCTATCCAAAAGTCCCCGACCGTGTGACAACGCAGTGGGCTGCATATCGAAGGGGGCCGTGTGCGAAGCAAGGGGCCGCATGGCCAGCAGTGGTCGAGAGCGGCCCCAGGGGGCAGAGAGGGTGTGCGCAGTATGTCCCCGCCTGCCCTCCAGATCAGGAGCAGGAGTTCTCCGACATGGCGGCGGCAGCAGCCGAGATCCGGGCCCGCGTGGAAGACTTCCGCGGGCCTGGTGGCTTGATCGACCTGGTGTATTGCCAAGGCCTTACGGCCGGCGCCGCCAACCCTGAAGGGGGTCGACGACGACGACGACGACGACGACGACGACGACGGTAGCGACGACGACGGTAGCGGCGGCGACGACGACGACGAAAAACATCACAAATTGTTACCTCTTGGTTGTTTGTCGTGGGAGTGCTCTTGGGGCACTCCGGGCCCGCGTGAAAGATCTCCGCGGGCCCGGTGGCTCGATCGATTTAGTGTATTTAGAAGGCTTCTGCCTCCTCCTCCTCCTCCTCGTCCCCGTCCCCCTCCTCCTCCTCCTCCTCCTCCTCCTCCTCCTCCTCGTCCTCCTCCTCCTCCGCCTCCTCCTCCTCCTTCTCCCGGCACCTGTGCCACTGGGACCCCTTCCCAGAAAAACTGGCGGGTAGCAGCCCGATCGTCACCCTTGTTTGCCCGCAGGGGGCCAAGGGGAGAAAAAATTGCCCTCGTCGCCAGAGGCCACCCATGGAGTGGGTGGTGGGTAGGTTGGGCGTCGGAGCACGGACTCCGGCGCCCCCATACCCCGAACAGGGCGCGCGGAGCACGGTCTCCTTGCGCGCCTTGTTTCGCGCACTTGCGCGCCACGGGGGCATGGCCCTGGCCCGTTGGCGCTGCCTGCTGGCACCCCCCTGTTGGGCAGGTGCTCGGGCTCTTTTCCTTTCAGTCGGGCCCGTGCCCGGGTCGCCTAGCCGTGCCCCTGGCACGTTTTGCGCCGCGCCTGTTGGGAAACTTATCCTCCTCCTCCTTTTCCTCCTCCTCTTCCTCCTCCTCCTCCTCCTCCTCCTCCTTTTCCTCCTCCTCCTCCTCCTCTTCCTCCTCCCCCTCCTCCTCCTCCTCCCCCTCCTCCTCCTCCTCCTTCTCCTCCTCCTCTTCTACTACTACTACTACTACTACTATTTCTACTATTGCTACTACTACTCTTACTCTTACTCTTACTACTACTACTACTACTACTACTACTACTACTACTACTATACTAACTACTACGACTACTACTACTACTACTACTACAATACTACCACTACCACTACCACGACTCTCGCTACTCTCTACTACTACTACTACTACTACCACTACTACTAACTACTACTACTACTATTTTAATATACCGCTACTACTACTACTACTACTCTACTACTACTACTAACTACTACTACTACTCCCTACGAATCAATACGACTATACGACTAACTACTACTACTACTACTAACTACTAACTACTACTCCACTACTACTGCTTCGCTACTACTACTAACTACTACTACTCTACTACTCTACCTTACTAAACTACTAGTACTACTACTACTACTACTACTACTCTACTACTACTAACTAACACTACTACAACTATCACTACCTACTAACTTTAACTACTACTACTACACTACTACTACTAGCTACTAACTACCATTAGCTACTACCTACTACTACACTACTACTACTACTACTACTACTCTACTACTCTACTTTTACTACTACTACTACTAGTACTACTACTACTACTACTACTACTACTACTACGGCTACGATTTCGACGACTACTACTACTACTACTATTACTACTACTACTACTACTACTACTACTACTACTACTACGACTACGACTACGACTACGGCTACGACTACTACTACGACCACGACTACTACTACCACCACCATTACTAGTACTACTACTACTACTACTACTTGTACGAGTACTACAAGTACGATTAGTACTGCTAGTAGTAGTACTACGAGTACTATTATTACTACGACGACGACGACGACGACGACGACGACTACTACTACTACTACTACTACTACTCCACTACTACTACTACTACTACTACTACTACTACTGCTACTACTACTACTACTACTACTACTA